CTCCAGCTGATGAGTCACACCAGAAGTGAAGGGTCATTCCTGCATCTTGCAGGATGATGGACAACTTCATTAAGCTGGAGAGGTGAGGAGCCCTTTGTGGGTTTGGTGGGTCTGGACCTCAGTTTGGTTTTGGTCTCCCATCAGTGATTCAGTGATTCCCAATTTGTTCCTTGGTTGGAAGCAGAAATAATTCCACTGACTGAGCTGGGGCTTAATTATTATCTTAATTATTGTCTGTAAAGGGCTTTGAAATCCTAAAGGGTTTGAAATCCTTGGGAGTGTGGGTGATTGTGGTGTGAGCTCAGCACAGAATTCAAGTGAGGAAACAAGTTCCCTTGGCTTGGAGAAGCAACTCCATGAAACTCTGCACAAGTATCACGAGTCTGTGGCTTTTTTTCCCTCAACTTAGTGCTAATGGATCCATTGTTTCATGTAAAGGTTTCTCCCGCTCTTGTTCTATCCTGTGTGACATTTACAGTACTCTTTGTTCCATTAGCAAAGTAATTTGAGATAGTTTATTATCCTTTGGAGACTTCACTGCCTGCTGTTTAACTTCCATGTCACTGGACCCTGGAAAAAAAATCTCTTAAAATAGTGCATGAGGCTAAAAATAGTGAGGAATTAGTAGTTTCTTAGGAGTGAAATAATTAATTTAGTGCACTTTAATATGAAGATCTGCAACTCTAGGAAACACCACTTACTGTTTCCTCTTTCTCTTCAGAGCCACCAATATCTGTGGAGTCGAAGTGTTTCTGCCTCACAGCTTGAAACTGTAATTTGTTTGTATCAGTTACAGCTCCTTTATTTCAGGAGAAGGGAGAAATAGCATTTAATCACGTTCTGAATCACTGGGGGAAGAACTCACTCCCTGATCTGAGTTTATTACACTCTCTAGATGCAAGAAAATGGCAAAGGTTGTTATTCCTTGGATTTTCTGCGATGCTGTCACTGCAGCACCCAAGGGACTGAGCCTGTTTGGGTCCTGGTCCCCGAGTGCCTCATCCCCACTCCATGGAAACACTCTTCCTGATTCCCCAGGGGCTCAGCAGTGGGATGAGTGTTGCAAAACATCAGGGTTTGCTGAGCCACACATGTGGGAAGATCTTTTTCTTGCCGTTAAGACTTCACTCACTCCCGGGTTGAAGTAACGCAGGAGGGAGCAGGGATGTGAACCCAGAAAAGGAGGGGAAGTGCAGGAATTTGGCGTGTGGGCAGAGATGGAGCAGTGGGAAACCTGTCCAATGACCTCCTGGAGCCAGGCAGGAGCTTCATCACATCACCTTTCCAGGTGGGATCTGCAGTACCAGCTCCCTCAGGTGCTGGACTTCCAACCTTGTCTCCAAGTCAACTGCCCGCAGCAGCGCCGGCTTTGCTCCGGCTCGAGGTGCACATGGCACTGCTTGGGATGGGATGGGAGCAAAACTCATCCCTGCTCCAGCCTCCAACTCCAGGTTTGTGCCTCCAGCTGATTTCCTGGTGGTGGAGCCTCTTTCGGCTGATTTGTGTCCGTCTCTCCAATCTGCACAGGAGGGCAGAGCCGGGCAGTGTCTGGGAGGAGGACCTTGGAGCAGAAGGCTCTGTTCCTTGGCCAAACCTTCCATTACCTTGTGTGGTCTTTGGCAACTCTCTGAACACTCCGTGCCTCAGTTTCTCAACCTGGAGAACAGGATGATCCCAATCAGCAAAGCTGGATGAGTTTGCAGTGCTGCACCCCAGAGGAGGAGGGCAGGGTCTGGACCTCCTCATGTCCACTGATGTCACCCCCATCCTCTCATACTCCCACAGGGACATCCTGTAGATCCCAAATGGCCAGAGAATGTCATGTATAGAACAAGCATTAATGCCCAAGGGTGCAGAGGCCCCATCCCAGCACTGGCCTCTGGATTGCTTTGTTTTCCTGCTCGGCTGAGTCGCTAACCTTCCAATAAACACCAGAGTCATTATCATAAAACTGGGGAAAATGCTGTCATTAAACCCCACTGGTTTAGTTTTCAAGTGCCTCTTTCTGGGACATCAAATTCATTTAGATCATTCTCCAAAGCCACAAATCCTGAGTGGCTGCAGTAATGTGTGTGGTGGGAGGTGAGAGCACCACGGGAATTAAATCGGGTGGAGAGGGCTCTTCACAGAGCTCGGTGGGGTTTGTTGCAGGGGGGAAGATGTGATGCGTCCAGCTGGTCACCCCTCTGACCCCTCAGCCCTGGGGTCCCTTGGGATGTTCTCTGGAAACCCCAATTCATGCTCTGATACCTCAGCCTGGAGCATCCAGAGGGATGGGGAGCTGCAGCAGAGCCTCCCTCTTACAAAAAGGTAGATTTTGTTCCAACAGAAAAGAATAAAACCTTAAATCCTTTCAGCAGCAGAAGCATAGGGTTAAATCCCTATGGTTAGGTTTTCCAGAGAAGCTGTGGCTGCTCCATCCCTGGAAGTGTTCAAGACCAGGTTGGACAGGGCTTGGAGCAAGCTGGGATAGTGGGAGGTGTCCCTGCCTGTGGCAGGAGGAGGAACTGGATGAACTTCAAAGTTCCTTCCAACCCAATCCATCCCATTCCCCTTCACCTCATTAAGTGTTTGTCTGAGCACTGGGGTGGCTGAACAAAATTTTGTCTCAGTGTTTGTGTAGTTGATAAATCTGATCTTGGGGCCAACATTTTTTGGGTTTAAGTGAAAACATTAAAATAGGTTTTTTTAAAGGGCTTAGGGTCAGCTGGCCCCTGCTGGGGGTTGATGAGCACCTGCAGTTTATAGAAACAACACATAGGGCTGAAACTTCAATGTCCTGGGAAGTCTGTAGATTTCCATAGGAACCAGGACTCGTTCAAAAGTTTTTCATCTCCCCAAAATAACCAGGATTTTGTTCCTCTGGGGGAGTTCCTGGCACAAGACCTCCTGGGAGCAGCACGGTGCCATGTGTCCGCTGACGTGCTACGGAATCTGCGGCAGCATCGGCTTCTGCGAGGGGAACAAGAATCCTAAAATTATCCTTTAGTTACTTAGAATATAAATAGAATTCAAATTGCTTATCAGCTGTTTCATTTGAAAGATATTTAAAAATACTTGGGAGAGGAAACTTGCACTCCGGTAGAGATCCGGAGCCACGCTGTACCCAAAGGATCTCGGTGCCTTGAGGTCACAACTGTGGGGATCAATCCATGCCCTGGGAGGAAAGAGTTCAGTTCATGGAGAGTTTATCAGCGTGACAAGTTATTCAAGTTATGCCAAAATCACGTGTAAGGGACACTTCAGGCAGATCTCTGGGAATGGGAAAATCTTCCATTCCCGGGTGGGAAGGTTGAGCCCGTGTTGGAGTGTGGCTGCAGTGAAACAAAGCTGACTGTGTCCTTGAGCACAGGAGACAGGAACAAGCCAGGATGAGCATTCCCAATCGATTCCAGGTGCTTCCCAATCGATCCATCTCTGGTGAGGAGAAGGGTGTGTTATGGCTTTTATGGAGTGAACAAACCTGGCAGCGTGTGTCCCATTGTTGGGGACGATGGGATGGGATGGTCCATGTGCTGTACCACTGCCATTCATTAATGGTTCTACTAAATAGGAGAGTGGTGAGGCTGTTCTAATGCCCAGAGCACTCAGAGGGTGACAAAAATAGCCCATTCAGCAGGGATTAGCTCAGAATAAGAAGTGTCCTTACCGTAAACCTGGGTGCTTCCAAGAACTCGGGCTATGGATGAGTTGGACTCTGGTCTGGTTCATTACAGGAATGAGTTGTGCTCTGCACAAACGTAACTTCCAGCATCCACTCCAGAAATTCTGGGTCCCTGTTTTACCAGCTGGGAATTGCACTCACTCCCAGCCTTCCTGGAAGAGGAAAATCATGAGGATCCTCACTGACCATCCGACACCTCCCTATGGTTGCTTTGGATTGTTCTCCTTCTCTTCTCCATCTGCCAGCCCCGCACTGTCTGATCCCTGCCTGGCCAAGGGTCTGGTTCCTGCAGGAGGAGGGTGTTGCTTGTCTGGGATCCCTCTCTCCAAGGGGTCTCCAGCACGGCTCTGTCCCCGACATGAGCCTGGAAACACGTCCCCAGGAGTGGAGGGTCACAGAACAGCAACGTCTGCAAGCTGGGCTGGTGGAGAGAACTTCCACTGGAATTTGTGCTTGTTGGGCGGGAGAAGGTGGGGCTGGATGGTGAAGGGCTGGGGATCCCAGTGATGAGAAGAAGCCTGGCCTGATTCCCTTGGAACATGTTAAAATAGTATCAACAAGGAGAAATATCAACCTCTGCCCAGAGAAGCTGTAGCTGCCCCATCCCTGGAAGTGTCCAAGGCCAGGTTGGACAGGGCTTGGAGCAACCTGGGCTAGTGGAAGGTGTCCCTGCCCATGGCAGGGGATGGAATAGATGGCCTTTAGGGTCACTTACAACCCAAACCATTCTGTGATTTTAAATGGGCACACAGGAGCATGGAAGACGCTGAGAATAAAATTAATCAAGTTACTAAAAAAACCCCAGAGATTATTTAGTCCTCGTTCAATGTATAAAGCCAAGAACTCAGCTAATAGACAAGAGGAGCTGGAATTGCTCCTTGGTGACCATAAACTTGACCTGCTTGGTTTTATTAAGGAGTCTGAGGGGAGAAAGTCACCTGACTGGGATGGCAAAATTCATGGTCTTTAAGAACTGAGTGGCAGAAGAGGAAAGGAAGCAGCCCGGCAGATCCACGGCAAATGGTCTGGAATGCTTTGCCGCAGGGACCAAGGAGGATGCTCGGGATGCTCCGGGCTGCGGGGGACGCTCAGGGATGCTCAGAGGATGCTCCAGGCCACGGGGAGGATCCCGCAGGTAGCAAGGAGGATGCTCAGGGATGCTCGGGATGCTCTGTGATGCAAGGGACGCTCAGGGATGCTCAGAGGATGCTGGGGGCCATGGGGAGGATGCCGGCATCCCGGGGGGAGGCTGCCGGGGGAGGGCGGCCGGGGGCTGCCGGGGCGGAGCCGCGGGGGCCCCTCCCGACGGCGCTATAAACCGGCGGGGCGCGGGCGCGGGGCAGCCATCGCTGGGGCGCCCGGGGCCGGGGCGCACCCTGCCCGCACCCCTGCCCGCACCTTGCCCGCACCCCTGCCCGGGCCATGGGGAGGGGGCAGCTGTCGGGGGGCGCCTGGGGGGCCCTGGTGCTGCTGGGGCTGATCCTGCCGGCCGCCCCGGCGGGCGCCTGGTACAAGCACGTCGCCAGCCCCCGGTACCACACGGTGGGTCGCGCCTCGGGGCTGCTGATGGGGGTCCGCCGCTCCCCCTACCTCTGGCGGCGGGAGCTGCCGGCCGAGCCCCCCCGGCACCCCGGGCCGCCCCCCGGGGACAGCCCCCCGCGCCCGGGCCGCCCCGCCGGGCTCAGCCCCCCGCCCGCCGCCCCGGCCCCGCCGCCGCCCGGCCCCGGCCGCCTCCTGCAGCTCCTGCTCCGGCGGGGCTGGGGCGGCCCCCGCCCGGCCCCCGCCCGACCCCCGCCCGGCCCCCGCCAGCCTCAGGTAACGCGCGGCCCCGACGGGCGGGCGGAGGGCTGGGGGGGCCGGGGGGATCCCGGGAGCCGGGGGGGGCACGGTTGGTTCGCAGAGCCCCGGGATGCTCGAGGGGTGTGATCTGTGTCTGGGATACGAGGGTCCTGCTGCGGCCCCCGGGGGTGCTGGGGGGTCACCAGGTAACAGGGTGCATGGAGCTTCGAGGGGGTTCACCGGGAAACTGGGGTGCACGGAGCCAACAAGGGGGCTGCACTTGGGCTTTAAGGCAGAAAAAGGAGCTGAATGAAGTGCCCGAGGCCAGGTTGGACGGGGCTTGGAGCAATCTGCTCTAGTCGAGGTGTCCCTGCCCATGGCAGAGGATGGAAAGAGATGATCTTCAAGTCCCTTTGCAACCCAAACCATTCCTGGATTCTAGGATTTCTCTGCCCTCCCAGTTGGAGCATCACAAACCTGCCCCCTGTGGGACTGAGCTGCCTGTGCTGGAGGGGTGTCCCTGGGGTCAGAGGGGTGTCCATGGGGGCGGAGGGGTGTCACTGTAGCCAGCAGCTGGGTCATACTGGGATTCTCCCAGCGTGGCTCTCCTCAGGCCCCCTCAGCTGCCCGCTCAGGGCTCAGCCAGGCTGTGTGGGACTGGCTCAGGGCTGGCTTCCAGGCATTAAATTTCTTTCCTCTTATGTAGAGCTGGAGTCAACATCCAGCTGAAATCCACAGAGGCTTTTGGCTGTTGGATCAGCCCCTGACACATGTAGCTGTTTTCCTCCCCCACCTCATTTCTGTGAGGAAATCTGGGATTAGAATCATTTTGGGAAAGCCCAGCGCTGTGTTACGTCTGTGCTGTGCCGTTGCCTGGCTGTGCATGTCCCGGTACCACAGGCTCTGGATCCATGCACACACATGCATCCCTCAGATTCCCCACGCAAGTTCCCACTGGGAGCCCCGCAGGCAGGTCCAAGCCCGGTATTTGGGTGTCTGGTGGGGTTTATCTGCAGGCACAGTGGCAGGAAGGGAATCTGCAGGTTGGATCTGAGCCTAAGACAAAGAAAATTGAATGAAAATGGTGAATGCAGCTGTGGTTTAAACACTGCACTGAGGGGAAATGGAATCCCATGTGGAGAGGGAGGTGATGGCAGAGCTGGAGGCTCAGGTGATGCTCCAAAATAACCCAGCCCCTCTTCTCCTTCCAGCTCTTCCCGCTCGAAGACCTGGCTCTGACCCGCTGACAGACCTGTGGAGATGCTTCACGTGCTGGAGGAGCAAGGACTGACTGCCCGAGGTGGGAGCTGCTCACCTGGCTGGCGAGGAAGGGTCTCCTCATGGCATCTCCGGGTACTCTGACCTCTCTGAAACCACACAGACAGTTACATCCCAAAAAATCTGAGTTTTCATGGCCCTGCCCAGACACAGGGTAAATTCATCTTGTTTTTCAGGTCAACCTAGTGCTACAAACTCGGGGAGAAATAAACAGGGGAGATATTTATTTTTGTTTATTTTTTTTACATTTCTGTACTAGCTTGTTTGCAATATGATACAAACATGTACTGTTCGCTTCCTCGGGACCTGCCCTCATTAAAATGAGATGTGATCAAAGGAAACTCGGGCTTCCTGGTGCTGTTGTGGGGTTTTGGTGGGGATTTTTAAGAGCAAAGCCTGGTCCAGCCCTGCACGGGGCAGACACTTCAGCAGTCGGGTCACTCCCAGATTTTTCTAACATGATTTAACTCCTTGACACAATTTTTTCTGCAGCTTTACAGTAAATCTCTTTTACTGCCTGTCAGGGAGTTACTGCCAGGCCAAGTGTCAATTCAGATGACAACATTTAGGAATGTTTCCTCAACTGGGCTGCACAGAAGCTCCGTGAGTCCTCACTGCTCTGACTGTGTTTTGCCTGCTCAGGGCTTAATTTACATATGTCCCCACTGAAGAAAATAAATGTTAATCCTCATTAAAACAGGGAGGAGCCTTGGGGGTGGGCAGGAGCACATGGTAAAGGGGTGTTGGAGTGAGTGGGATCTGGGATCTAGAGAAAACTGAGGTTCGGGGGGCTGAGTCCAGTACTGCTGAGTTTTAATGCCCTGGCACTGGTGGTTGTTGCAGGAAATCAGACAAAGAGTAATTTCCACCCCTCTTAGATGAACTCCCTGCTCCTGCCAAGGTTTGTGCTGCCTTTGGTTTGGATCTGGAAGGAAAAACCCCTTGCTGGGGGAGCAGGGTGTGTGCAGAGCCCTCCCACCAGGGAGGGAAGGGTTAAAACGAGGCAGGACAGGGAAAGGCCAGCTTTGAATAGGAGGGTGCAATGGGGATGAAGGACCATGTGCTGAGAGACCCTCATCTGTTGGAAAGGAACACTTGACCGTGCCAATTGCTGGGGTAAAACCAGCGAGACACTCAGTTAACCACAAACCCTTCACTTCTCACCTTGGAAAATGGTTTTTGCTGTTGAGTGTGAGCTGATTTCCCACTTGGGGCTGTAAAGTAATTTCCTATGTGCTGCCTGCTCTCCAGAGACATCTGGGCCTTCCCTGGAGGTCAACAAGCCCAACAAAATGCAAGAGAGCTTAAAGAGGTGTTTAACTGCCCTCCTGCCCCGGGGCAGGACCCAGCTATCCCTGATGGATGTTAATCTGATCCTTTCTAAAAGATCATCCTGATGGAGATGCCACAATCCCGATGCTCTGCCTCCTGTCTCTCTCACTCTGGGGGGCTGCATGTCCAGACCATGGGGACCCCATGACCTGGACCACAGGGACTCCCTGTCCTGGTCCGTGGGGGTGCCCCAGGATGAAACACAGCCACAGGGATGCTCGGGGAGGATCCTGGATTTGCAGCTCTAAGCAAACTGGAGGGGGACAAAAGCTTTTTGGGGGTGCATGGACAGGCCCAGAGCTGCAGCAGCACATTGGCTCCTGGCCCCATTCAGGGTCCCAGTGCCCCCTACCCCCCCTCCCCCAAGCAGCTTTCCAGGGATAACTGCGGCCGAGGAGGTCGATTCCTGGCACCTCTCTGGGCTTTGGGAAGGCTCAGAAACCCCCAGGAGACAGTGGGACAAGTCATCCCTTCCCTCCTCCCACTTCCCAGAGCCTGTGGGGTGGTGGACTAGGGGTGCCGGGGGTGCCGGGAATGCGGTGGCACCCAGGTGGCTTTGCCATGCCCTCTTGTGGCCACGCAGATGCCAGAGGCTGGGAAGTGCTGGGAAGTGCTGGGAAGTGCTGGGAGCTGCCATGTGGGTGAGGATGAGCCCTTCCACCACGTCCCCATCCCTGCATCCTCACGGAGTGGGGCATTGCCCCATGGGTGCCCCTCTGCCCACGTGGCCCCAGCCGAGGCCAGGGGCCAGCAGGGGATGGGAGCTCTGGGTTAACTCCTGTCCCACTGCTCCCTGCATGGATTTGGGGAGCCCAACTGTGGGGCTGCCCAGGGTCCACACACAGCACATGTGGGGTTTGGAGCTGGATCTGGCCCAGGTCCATCCCCAAGGTGCTGCCTGGGAATTGTGCAGCTCCGGCAGTGCCGGGGCCGGGGCTGGCTGATGTGCCAGGCTTTCCTGTGCCAGGCTTTCCCGTGCCAGGCTTTCCCATGACAGGCTTTCCTGTGCCAGGCTTTCCTGTGCCAGGCTTTCCCGGACGGAGCAGCCGTCACCTGGCCCACGGTGCCAGCGGATGCATTTTGTTCCAGCCCAAGAGGCGGGCGAATCCAGGGCCCACGGTGGGCAGGAAGACGTCCCACCCCAACCCGGGGCAGCTCCCTTTCCTTCCCGGCTCTCGGCCTCTCCAGGGGGAGCAGCAGCATCCACCGGGGCCGGGGGCTGTGGGAAGGGCATTGGCTTGGATAGGAACCAGCCGGGCAGGGGAGCTGCTGTGAGCTCACCCCAGGGCTGGCCTGGGCACACTCACAGCGGCTGCAGGGCCCTGCGTGTACCGGGAGGAAGAAAACTCCCCAAGGAATTTTCTCCATCATCACCTCTGCTCAGAAGCTGTTCCCCAGGGATGCAGGTGGCTGAGCCAGGCCAGGACTGAGCCCTCCTCCAGCTGTGGTGGTGACTGAGGATGGAAATCCCTTGGACAGAGCTGGACATCCCAGGTGGTCCCTGTGATGGTCCCAAATATCCCTGTGGGGAGCCTGGACTGCAGGACCTGGTGCTGAGCTGGGCTCTACCAGGGATCCCATCCCTGCCACTCCCTCCTGTTCACACCTTCACCCTGACACCAGCCAGGGAAATGATGGGGACTGGAGACAAGGGGCAGGAGCTGCAGAGATCAGGAGGTGATGGTCTCTCTGTGCCCACCCTTTTGCCTATTTCCAAGATATCCAGAGAACTGATAAGGTGACAGTGGTTTAGAGACACCATCAGGGATGTTCCTGGCCAAGTTGCAGCTGCCCAGAGCCATTCCTGGGGTGCCCAAGGGTTGAGACCCTCTCGTGGACCCCACTCTCCCACCCAGGAACATCCCTCAGGTGTCCCCAGGGCTGTGCCACCCTGGAGGTGCCACCCTCGTGTTGACTGTACACGGGGCTGTATTTGGGGAGTGCCCACTCTGCTTTGGGCACTCACCTGCCTTGGGCACGTGGCACTGGGAGGGGATGTGACTCGTGACACTGGGAGGGAGGGTGACCTATGCCAGCACTGCCCACTCTGCCTGCTCCCCGGGCATCCTGCCAGACCCCTGCCCCACTCCTGAGGATGCTGGGGCTGGCACAGGAGTGGCTGGTGGGGCAGCAACACTAAAATATCCCTCGGGGTCCCCTCCAGAGCCCTGTCAAGAGCTGCAGACACCTCAGGGGGCCATGAAGGTTCCTGGGGATGTCCTGCCCATCCTGTCCATGGCAGGGAGATGCTGCAGGAGTGGTCCCAGCCCCCACAGCATCCCCTGGGTGCTGGGGTGGCACCCAGAGCTGGACATGCCACAAGAGCTGATGCCCCAAACCTTTTAGCCTCACCCACAACTTTCATGGCATAGAAGGATTAAATTCAGGCATGGCCATGCTAAAACATGCCCCTGGAGATGGGTGATTCCAGGAATGGATGCTCCTGAGGATGAGTACTCCCAGGGACAGGGGGCCCCACCTGGAGGGCTCAGTGCTGCTCTTACACCGGTGTCCTTGCTGGGGTGACACACTGGGGGGCACTGGCACCAGCACTGCTTGCATCTGTGCCAGTACCAACCTCTCCACGACCAAGTCCCTCTGGAGTCACATTATCCATGGGATTTTCCTCTAGGAATCCTACCTCAGCTCTTCCAGGGGGAAGGGGGGCTGCCTGGCAGAGGCAGCGGGTGCCCGTCTGTGGGGGCAGAGCAGGATGGCTCACATGGGCTGTGGGAGCAGCACCCCTGCCTGCTCACCTGGCCGTGGGTGTGCTGGCACGTGGAATTCTCGGGTGTGCCTAGCCTGGCTGGTCACCAGCTCCACCCCTGCACAGCCCCAGCACCACCAGCCCCCCCGGGGCAGCACCCACAGCTCTGCTCTCTCCTACAGGTGATAAAGGCCCAGGTTGTGCAAGAGGGATCTCCCGGCCCTCAGCAGAGTAACTGAACTTTCTGGACTTTCACAATCCACAAAACATGTAATTAATCCTCCTAATGATCAGTTCTCCTTCTATCCCCATCAATCTAACCTGGGGAATGTTTACAGCTCAATAGTGCCACACACAGAGGCTCAGGGAAAATGAGACCGTGCTTTTTACGAGCTCTCCTCTCATTCCTGGTTCCTCCAGCAGCACAAATAAATCATCCCCTTTGAAATCATCCCCTGAGAGCAGCCAGGACACAGCAGCCCCATACTGAGTGATGGTGAAACAGAGGAGGAATGAACACGGCAGCATCTGTGCCAGTGGGAAAGCCCAAGACTTCATTTATTCATAGTAAGAGCAAATTACTGCAGTGGCAACAGCTCTGCAGCTCCCAGTGGATATCATCCAACATAAGGTGCATCCCTGAGCTCGAGCAGAGGGACCAGACCTCCCTCCACACCCAGGCAGAAGGTCTGTGGGTGGCCAAGCTCTGCTGGGAATTGGAGCCTGGCTGGAACCAGCCCGGTGAGCTCCTGCTCCATGTGCAAAGCTGGGTGTGGAGCAGGGGTGGATAAACACCAGCACTGATGGGGAAGAGGAGGCTGGGAGGGAGGAAGGGCCCAGCCTGTTCCTCACCCTTGGCAAAACTCCCATGCCAGAGCAGGGTGAGCACAAGGGAGTGACCCACATTCCAGGAGTGGATCTGGGAGAAGGGGAAAGGAGAAGGCACAGGATCAGCCCCAAACCATCCAACAGGCACAGTGTGGGGCCACGAGTGGGACACAGAGCCCCTGGAGTCTTGGAAACACGTGTCCTCTCTGGCAGAAGAGGCCCAAAGGCAGGTGTGAAACCTCCCATTCCTTTGGAAGCAGCAGCACAGCCCAGCGACTCCGTCATGGACAATCCTCCTCCTCAGAGCTGCTCACCCTTCCACTGCCTCAGGAAAAAGCCAGACTGAGCAGGCCTGGGGGACCAGCTGAGGTTTTCCTGGTTTCTGAATCAAGATGGACTTTGTGGGCTCCCAAAATCCCCACTCTGACACGCCAGGGAGCCTGAAGGGTGACTCTGATTTCTGTAACTGTGAAA